TTCAATTTAACCCCCTAAAATTTTACCAAATTGATAACTTATTCATAAACAATAATAATAATAATAATAAGTAAAACAAAAAATAAAATAAATTTAATTTGACTGTTCAGAAAATAAATGTGTTTTAACGTATTATATATAATATAACTTTCAACTATAGTTGAATTTATAAATGAGTTAGCTATTATTTATCAATATCTACATCTTCATTACGACGGTCAAGCAATAAAGCAATATCGTTAACGATTTTGTTTCATTGTAGACCTTAAAAATGTTTTTAATCTTCAATGTGCCGAAAAAATATATCATACCGAAATCAAGACGATACCGAAACAGTCAAAATAATAATAATTTTGTAATTTCTCTCATTAGCCAATAGCCATAGATTGTTGATGGATACTTCAGTTGTAATCAGGGTATAGACACTCTGTGTATTGGCAAAATCGGGTGACTGTGGCCTTGAGCACGGTCTCTAAGGGGGCGTGGCATATGTTATCATTTAAATAAATCATATCAATATTATCAGTCCACAGAATACAGAATACAATATATTATTAAATTATTTCATTAACAATAAACCAATGTAAAATTACAATATTACATTATAGTTTTTAATTTATATGAAAACAAAATCCTTATTCATTTTACCAAAATTTAATAATGATATACTTAAAATATGAAAAATAAATTATTTATCGTTATTAATCGTTTATAAAAATTCCGTAACAAAGAGGGATACACGTTGCTAACGTTCTATCAGATTACGGATACGGTACAACTTTTTTAGTCCAATACATCATACCGTAGGGATACGTAAACCCTCACAGCTGATCGAGTGTCTATTCTATATTGTTCTGTGGTTGTAATTGAATATCTACCACGAGGTAGGTTAGTGGTTACTAAACTTTACTATCTTACATTTTATTATCAATACAATTTATTTTTGTTTTCAAAATTTCGAAATTGCAATTTTTATCACAGTCAGAATTTTATTTCAATAGTCGTTTGCTAAAATTTTTGAAACTTGGATATAAATACACGCTATACATGTTCAGTATTCTAATGGGTGCCCAGCATCCCATAATAATTTTAATGGGAGCCTGAGCCCCCGGGCACCCTTTCACCTGGCGCCTATGCATTAACCCACTTGTCACATATTGTACAGCAGAGTGACATCCACTTACCCACTTTTTTCTTATATATTTTTCAAACTTACTTTTATATTTACCATTAGGAAGCTATAGGTAAGTATAATAAAAATACCGGAAAAGTAATTGTATTACAATATACAAGTGTGTGTAAAATGGAATTGTCCCATTGTTTCCCCTAATATATATAATAAAAACCAACCTTTTAATTTAAACCAAGTCCAATAAAAAATATATTTAAAAATGTATTTTAGTTTATATTATTATAATGTTATACAATTGCTTTTAATTATATTTTATATTTTTATGACCATAGATTTTATACATTTTAAGTTGGATTATTGATCAAAATTTTTAATTAGAAAATTAAAACTTATGTCTAATAAAATATGACATAATATAGCAAAATGTACAAATTTCCCGTCTACTTCCTTTTTTTTTCTGTCTACCATAAGTACCTAACTTAGAAATAGAAAAGTTAATTCATACTATACGTTTGGACATTTCCCCCCTGACATCCCCCCCCCCACCTGACTGTTTTTGGTCTAGTAGGACATTTCCTCCCCGGCATATTTTTCATGTAGATATTTTCCCCCCATTTTTTTTAAGTTAATAAATAATAATTGATTAATAATATAATATTATTTAACATGATATAAAATATATAAAATAGTTTTATTTTCATAAATATAATAGATTATAAATGTGTAGGTATGTTTGATCAACTGAACTACTTACTGAAACAATAAAAATTTAAAAAAAAAACAAGTAGGTATATTAAGTAAAATATAATTAATAATTAATAAAAATAGTTAAAAATGATGGGGACCTATCGATTCCGCCAATGTAGCATCGATTCCGCCAGTATCGACTCCGCCAGTTCAGTATTCTAAAAACAACCTATCGAATCCGCCACCCACCAATTTTTAGTTAAAACTGTACCAGTTTGTATATTTAACAATTTAATAATTGCTTATGAATTTGATTCATGTAGTTCAGTTGATTAAAAATATCCATCTATAATTTATTATATTTATGAAAATATTTGAAAATATTAGACAATAGACATAATAATATAATAAATAATATATATATACTATATATTTATATTAAATAATAATATTATATTATTAAATAGTAAACTTAAAAAAAAAAATGGGGAGGAAATGTACTATTACACCGATAACAGTTTTGGGGAAAATAGTGTTATATATTTTTATGTACACAGTAGGTACGAACGTTTTTTTTTCTGCTATAATTACACATGTATGTCCAAGGCGGAATGTTCGGCTCAGACGATTATGATTTTACCATAAAACACATCACGGAACGACAGAACACGCGGAGATTACAAAGCGTTGTAAATCTATTTGTGTGTCAATCACACAAAAATATTTACAGTATTGCATTTTACAGGAAAATTTCACAAGTTTTGTCCACAAAATATTCATCGTAGTTTAAAATTACACAGACTTGGGAGTAGAAATTAAGTCATCTGAGTGCAGGGGCGATCCTAGAGTTTACTTTTAGGGGGGGTTTAGAGTGAATATTGCCGACTTTCAATGATAAATCTGCCGACTGTATACTTAATGTTATAATAATTGCATTTTCCTATAGTAATAATTATAGGGATCAAATAGTTATGAAATTGCGTATTTTTTTTTCTATTTATTCATTTTAATGATGACCTAGAAAAAAATTTGATTCATATGTCTACTGAATCAAAAAATACTATTTCTATTAATTATTTATCATATATTAGGGGTTTTATTTGAAATGCATATGATGATATTTTAAGAACATAAATGAATACTTTCTTCATACATGTACAGTAAATTTATAAGAACATAATTAAAATAGATTAAGTTTGAAACCTAGGTTAACCTCACGTCCTCACCTAACCTAAACTCCCAAATTCGTTTTTAATGTATCGAAATACTGAATCTAAATATTCTGCTTTCAAAGATGAAATTAAAACTGAATGTTTTAATTTAATAAAAGGTGGGTATCACTCTGCTGTACATTAGGTTACAACTTACAAGTGTGTTACTGTATAATGGATGGTATTAAATTTGAATTCAATGATATAATAATAGGTAGGTATCAACTATGGTACCGCGAAAAAATAACCCCGGAAATTTAGAACCCGAAAAAAAGAACCCCGAAAAAATAACCACCGACAAAATAACCCCATAGGCCAAATTGCCATAATATGAGATTTTGCAAATTAATCTCAAATCAATACAAAATGTATAACATACCTATTGGCTATTACCTACGCATAATATTAATTTTGGATTCAATGATAAATTATTGTATATACCCACGATAAAAACAATTCAGAGCTCTACATTAGAACTCTACATCATACGAATTGAAAAATATAGTGCATATTTTACTGTTTTTTACTGTTTACTTGAAAAAAAAAAAAATCAATCTATTTACGAAATAATATTCAAAGTTATTTTATCAGTCTGCGAAAAGAACAATCTTTTTCCAGATCATCAAAATATAAAAATAGACTTCGAAAAGGCATTAATAAATGCAGCAAAAAATGTATTAGGTGAACATTTAATAATGAACGGATGTTTCTATCACCTATACCAGAGTACTCACAGAAAATTGGCAGAATTAGGATTAAAAAAAAATATCAAGAAGATTATGATTTTAAAGAATTCTGTGGTACCTACCTATGTTAGATGGCTTGGCTTTTTTACCACTAAATAGGTTACAATAAGAAGGTGTTGAATATTTTAAATTAATTATTCCTCCGAGGAGTTATTTCAATATTTTGACGAAACCTACGTGATGTGGAACAATACATCGAATAAATAAAAAATTAAATAAATAAATAAATAATAAATTTTTATTATAGGGTTATTTTTTCGGGGTTCTTTTTTTCAGGGTTATTTTTTAGGCAAATCATCAACTATCATTGTAACTATACGAAAAACGATTCTGAGCGGTGATTGCTTATCAGTGTGGATATTTTATATTATATTTAAATTGTATTTACTTATTACTTATTCTTAATACGGTAGCTGGTAAGTGTAATTAATATTATAAAATTACAATAAAATAACTAAAATCGTTATTGTTGGTTATTTGATATGTAATTCCCTCCAAATTTAAACATAAGATAATTACTATTAAAAAACTGTGTTTTTATATTTTTGAGATTTTTTGGTTACAGAATTAACTATATATACGTGCAACCTTGTTTTAAATTTTCAATCCTTATATAGCTATAAAAGTTGAATAGGTATTAATGTATACATGGTTAACTACAAAATAGTTTTTAAATCTTAAATTTGATAAATGTTGTCAAAAATCGAACTTTAAATGCTTATAAAAATGTGCAAATGTATTTTTAATACTTTTCAACTGCTATTTAAGCAATATGTCAGGAGCCTTATACCTATTAAATTTTGACCCTTTTTGGCCCAACAAATAAAATTTTATTAATTAATTGTTAGATTATTAAGATTATATATCGAATATTTTGGTTTCTAAATAACAATTATCCCAAATATTTATGTCATCATTATAATGAACAATTCTCCCAATTAACTTTTATTCCAAAATTGGGAAAATTATACATTGGAACAACAATATTTTGGGAGAATTTGGATACTCCCTACCATGTTAATCATTTGTAAATATCGTTATCAGTAATTATCATATCGATATATATTCGAAGAATTATATACCAAATACATGTTAAAAGTTAAAATAACGTTATAAATGTCCACAATATTAAATCTAATTTAACATCTTCGGCTGAGACACAACGAAATTAGGTTCATAAGACTCCAATAAATTAGACTAAACTAGTTTTATTTAAACAATATCATGGATATCGGAGAACTGTTGGACTACAAAGTATGTAACAAACAATACATTTTTGTCAAATACTCAAATAATTTGGCAATACTTATCAATATAGGTATTAATTCCTAATGTAATGTGGTTTCATTTTAGCCTGCTAACACTCCAAAACGACCACTACCTGAAGAAGAAGTTAATCAAATTCAAGAAAATGAGACTGATTATGAACGACAGAAAAAACTTAGACGATTAGCTAAACATCGTGTTCAACAAATAGAGAAACAAGAGCAAGAACGACTGAAGGCAGAACAAGAAAGACTCGCCGAAGAACAGCGAATGAAACAAGAACGGCAAGATATGGTGCAAAAACTAGTTGATGAAAATCTTGCTGGTACTGATGTAAGGAAAACGTCAAATGATAATAAAATAAAATAATATATCTAAATATTTGAGATTTAAATAAGATATTAATTTTCTTTCTTTCATAGGACGGGGTCTTAGATGAAGCAGCTCTAAAACGCATGATTTTATTGTTTGAAAAAAAAGTGCTGAAAAACCAAGAAATGCGAATAAAATTTCCTGAAAATCCTGAAAAGTAATTTTTTAAGTACGATTTGTATTCATAATTTTATCATACTTATTTTAATTTAGGTTTATGGAATCAGAAATTGAATTGCATGATATTTTAACAGAAATGCATGCTATAGCAACTGTTCCAGATTTATATCCTATATTAGTCAACCTAAAAGCTGTTTTATCTCTGTTAGAATTACTTACTCACGAAAACACTGACATAGCAGTTGCAGTTGTCAATTTATTACAGGTTTGTAATATTAAAATATATGTGTTTAAAGTTATTATTGTAATGCATTCATTGTTCTAGGAGCTAACTGATCTTGATTCTTTAAATGAAAATGAAGAAGGTACTGAAATATTGATTGATGCATTGCTCAGCAAACAAATATGTGCTCTATTAGTACAAAATCTTGAACGTATGGATGAATCCGTGAAAGAAGAAGCTAATGGTGTACATACAACTTTAGGAATATTTGAAAATATTATGGAACTAAGGCCTGACGTTGTGGTTGATGTTGGTAAACAAGGTCTTATTCAATGGCTTTTAAAAAGAATTAAAGCTAAAATGCCTTATGATGGTAATAAACTTTATAGTAGTGAAATCCTATCTATATTGTTGCAAAACAATGAAGAGAATAGAGCTTTAGTTGGAGAAATCGGAGGCATTGACAATTTATTACAACAACTAGCAGTAAATATTTATATTGTTAACATTTCAAATAGTTTTTAACAATGTTTAAATTTATTTTTAGTATTATAAAAGACACGATCCTTCTTCTCCCGATGAACAAGAAATGATGGAAAATCTTTTTGATTGTCTTTGTTCTTGTTTAATGGATAAACAAAACAGAGATAGATTCTTGAGAGGTGAAGGACTTCAGCTTATGAATCTTATATTAAGGTAATTTATCATTTAATCAATCTTATTGTTTATTTTTTTGATGTTTGTAAAAAGCTTATAAAACATTCTAAATATTGCAGGGAAAAAAAATTAAGTAGAAATGGTTCATTAAAGGTATTGAATCATGCTTTGTCAGGTCCACAAGGCAAAGACAATTGCAACAAATTTGTAGATATTTTGGGACTTCGGACCATATTCCCACTATTCATGAAAACTCCTAAAAAGAACAGAAAGAGAATGCTTAGTACAGAAGAACATGAAGGTATTAAATTGAATTTGTTATTTAAGGGCTTAAGAAAAGTCATATACTCATATGCACATATTGTTGCAGAACATGTTATTTCAATAATTGCCAATATGTTACGTAATTGTCGCGGTACACAAAGACAACGTCTAATGACTAAATTTGCTGAAAATGATATGGAAAAAGTTGATAGACTCATGGAACTTCATTTTAAGTATATGGAAAAGGTTGAAATGATCGATGCTGAAATTGATGAAAAGGTAAAGTAATAATTAGGTAAGCATTACATATTTTATTGTTAAATACATTTTGTAGAACGCTGGGGAAGAAGATGAAGATGAAATTTATCTGAAACGTTTAAACGGAGGTCTATTTTCTTTGCAACTGGTTGATTATATTACTTTGGAAGTTTGTAATAGTGGCCCAAACATAAAAAAGAGAGTAACTCACATTTTAAACATGCGAGGTGGAACATTAAAAACTATTCGACAAATAATGAGAGGTACCTTATCAGATTAAGTTATTACTTATTAATGTTATTGATTTATTATTGTTATTAATTATCAAGCATTAGCCTTTAGGTTGTTAAGCTATATTTAATAATTCATCTAGAAATGTTTGGTAATGAACTAATAAATAATGATGTAAATTATTAAGTATTTCTCACAATATCAATTTTTGGTTTGATTAAATAATAGTTAATAATACCAAAACAATATATTGTTTATAGAATATGCTGGAAACCTTGGCGATGATGGGGATAAAGAATGGCAGGAACAAGAGCAACGTCATATATTAAAAATGGTTGATAAGTTGTAAATTTTTAAATTATGAAAATTTAAAATTAAGATAATTTGACATACTACGATTGTAAAAAAAATACATTATTGTATGAATTGCATTTAATTATACCAATTACCTGCCACTAATTATTTAATTCTTGATAATTTTTTATTGTACTATAACAAATTAGAAAAATATAAAATGTCAACAAACAGAATTTTATTTTATTGGTCTACTTTTGCATTTAATAATGTAATTAAACTAATTGAATAGTAAATAATTTATCAACATATTACTTTTATTAAAAAATAGTAATCTATACGATTTAAGATTTTACAAATTACAGGAATTCTGATTATCTATTTATTTATTATAATAATAAACGGGACAGGCTCTTGAAATTTTAATACAGAACATTAATAATACATAATTTTTTAGTTCACATACCTATCACTTAAATAAGATAATAAATAATAAAAAACACTGATACAAAAAACAAAAGATTATCTTCGAAAAACTAGACCAGTACATTTTCCTGAACATAAGTGCTCAAGTAATTTTTAACAGAGAAGGTACCCCAGAGCTATAAAGTACAAGTTATCTACTAACTAAATAACTCCATATCAGATTTTGCAATATTATAAAAATGTGGTCATGGAAACAGTGATTAATATTTCTATCATATTACCTATATGATTATTGTTGTTAACTTTTGAGTCAATAGACAACCACGATTAAAGATGTATCTTTAATCGCGATACCAACTTATAACCTAACCTATACCGTAGAACATCGAGAATGGGTTTAAGTATATAATAGGTAAAAATTAAAATTAGTCTAAATATTTGTATGTCATTGAGTATAGTAAAATTTATAACATACCTAAAATTGTTATGTCCCCACAAATAATGATAAATTTGGATTTAATGATAAATTATTTTATATGTTAAAAGCGAATCAAAGAGGGGACTGTCATAGGTGAAATTACAATTAAGGCCAGTCAGGCCATGGCCCGACCTAATACTGATTGGATAACATACTAACTTAATACAGTTTAAATTAAAAACTTATTTTGTAATGAGAATTTTTTTTCATATTTATCATATGACCTGTCCTAATGAAATTTTATAGTTTTGCCTATGGAAATGTTTATAATATATTATTGACAATTGACATTTCAAAACAAATTTCACTGAGACCAAAATCAACTATTTGTCTTTAAATCATACATATACCTACTGTCATTGAAATCTCGTGAATAGGTGTTAGGTAACTAGGTACTTACCTAGCAAACCGTACACTTAATTTTCTATTATATATAAATAATAATAATAATAATGATCTCAAAATGTTCCTGTTTGAGAACATCTCCGGGTTGGTCGTCTTATTTACCTGTTTTTCGAGACAATATGCAGTAGCTTATCTTCTTTACTCAACGTCTAATATATCTCTGTACCAAATTTCATCGCAATCGGATGACCGGTTTAGGAATGCATAAAGGACATGGTTAGATGCAAACACTTTTTATCTTTTATATAGGTATGTATATATAGATTAATATTTATATTTTATATACTATGGTGATAGTTCTTTGAATAACCATCGCCATCGGTTTGTGTTTTCTGCTTTCCTAGAGCATTAGACGTGGATACTTTTTGGTGCATTCGACATATTTCATGCATGGTGAACATGAGTAAGTGTTGTGTTTGTATAATCCACATGGTCTGTGTGTCATATTTTTTTTGACAATTTTAAATAATTCTGGAACTTCTTATTTACTGCTCAGCAGTAATGATATTTTCAATTTGAGTGGAAACAATATTTTAGACCATCTAACCGCATACATCCAGCAGTGACTTTTCCCGTATATACCTACATGGTTCTTAATGATGAGATCCGTAAAACATATCAATCTTTATTTGAAAACTCCTTTAGGTCATCCAGATGGGATGGTTGCTGGCCAAGCAAAATTCTTTGATATCAATCCAAGATGGATCTCATGTGCTCGTGTCGAAAAATCTGGACGTTTGTACTACCAAACTTATGTCAGAGCATCTTGAGATCATCCATCAGAACATTTTAATTTTGGACTATACCAATGAATCGCCGCGTTTTTTGAAAATAATAATGATGTATAAAGTCACAGGGGTGGACTGGGCCGGCGGGATACCGGGAACTTTCCCGGTGGGCCACTGCTCAAATATAATTTTTATAATAAAATCAGTATTTATAAATATAAATTATAAATATTTTGTATTTTCATAATTTCATATCATAACGGTTGAGTGTGAAAAATTGTTTATAATATTATATTTGGTGTTTAAGATTTTAGATTTCGGTTCAGCTGATTGCCCCTCGGCATCAATATATAATCAGAAGTTATTATTTATAACTAGGGTGTAAATTTAAATATAAATTACATTTTTTTCTGATTTTTCTTAAACATTTTGTTTACTTAATTGATTTTTAGAAGATTATTTTGGACGTTTTTATGACATTTTTATGGTTTGAACGAATTTTTCGTAAATTTTATAAGTAAAAATACAATTTTATGAATACTATATTAGCTTAAATTCCTTGAAGATATTCAATAGTTAAATATCATTTTTTTTTTTTTTACTAATATTTCTATTTTATTACGTCTTAATTCGCACTCCTAGAACAAGACTGTCACAACTCAAAATTTATAGTTTTGAGAAAAATCAATTTGAAGTTTGGACTTAAGATATTTTAATGAATTTTTTACTTATGCGTTTGAAATTTAACACTTAAATACTTACAACCATACTTTACAATATTAATTTTTCAAATATTTTGAAATTCACTCTTAAACCCAAAAATTTAGACTTGTGGCCATTTACAATTTTTTAAGTAAATGCAAGACTGCCATATTTTGAGATGCGACTATATGAGAATTTGGCGCAAAACGAAAAGCTATTCTATTTATAAATACAATAGAGTCATAATTCGTGTTGTGGCTGCACTATCACAAATTATAAAATGCAATACTGCCACCAACTCTAAATATTGCTGTTTTGCACTCAACATATTACACGATAATTAGTTTTTATTCAGTGCAAGAACGCCACAAGTCGAAATAAGGCAGTCTTGAATTTTGACTTCAGTGATAATTTGGATAAATAAAAATAAGTATACTGCCATAAAGTAAATATGGCTCTCTTGCATTGAAAATTAACCAATATTTAAATAATTCAATACAGACACATCTCTATAGTGGCTAAATGAAAAATGATATTGAATGTGGCGTTCTTGCATTTAAAAGAGCTTATTTTTCTCTATCCAAAAGTAGTCATAACTCAAAATTCATGAATTTTGAGTTGTGGCAGTCTTGTTCTAGGAGTGCGTTATGTTTGCTCCTATGACTTCAGTTATACAAAACAATACTTGCCAATTATAACTAGGTGTCTAGGTATCGAAGTTTTTTATTTGAAAATATTAATTAGCTTCTGATTGACCAGTGATATAATGAAACACAAAATATAAGGACTATACCTATTTAAGTTCTATGTTATTTTCATTTAAATTAGCTTTTAATTTTTCTGGGCATTTTATTAATCTTTGTAATATTGTAACTAGTGCATAAAATCGTAACTTTTAGGCATTTTTCTTGTTTTTTATATTTCATTTATATCCATGCAATAATTATAACTGAATATTATCTAATACCTAATATTAAATTGTACACAATACAAATATAATATAAGTTATTAATTGTACCTACATAATAGTAAAATATAAAAGATAATTTGTGATAATTTGATGGCTATTAACAAGCTGATAACTGTGGGTACATTCTAATGTAATGTTCTTAATTCAAAAAAGCCAATTTTTTTTATTTTATTATAGTGTGTTGTTTGATGATTTTGTAATATTTACTTATCTATTTGTTGTTTAAAATGGAAACTAAAAGAAAGGGTGGGGTTGAGAAAATCAGAGGAAAGAAAAAGGATACTTTTATAAAAATCAAGTTAAAGTAGTTTAAAGAACGACCTATGTTTTTCACACATTGTGGATCAGTTATAGAGTAGGTAATAGAAAAACGTAATATATTATACTCTGCAGTACATGTAATTAAGATAAAATACTAAACACATTAAGAATCTCAAGTTATCTCCTGAGAAAATTGAAGATGAGTAGAGAATGTAACCATCATTTGTTAATACTTTGGTACCATATTTAAGTGTTACATTTAGTGATGACTGATGACGAAATGGTAAGGGCTGGTCAAAATATTGATTTTCCGGGCCGAATAGTTGCCCCAGTCCGCCCCCGTATAAAGACAATGAAATGTTTGGCCTGGATTTTCAACTACATTTACAATTCAAGGCCTAATTTATCACCAAACTAGCTCTTTGCTGGCTACATAATATGATCAACCAAAATGTCTACAGATTTATTTCATGGGAGATAAAAATAGCGAAGCTGACCACAGGTGTCAAGATATTCAAGGTGTTGAAAGGGAGACTGTTCTAAAAATGCAGAGAATGTTGCACTAATGCACTATAATAATGCCTCATTAGGTAACACCTTCAAAACATCTTAGGAAATAATGCTGGACAAATATTACAAGATATAGTATCGTAGGTAACACCTTGCCCGTATGCCAAGTGGGGAACATGAAACGCGGTATAATCACAGAATAGATGAAATTATAAATTCGATATATTTCATCTATTCTGTGGTATAATGCACCATTACCTAATCAACGAAGTCGCAGCCGTTGTCTCAGGCGAACAGTATGCATCCCGTATTCCCTTGATATAATATTTTTACACGTCCCGGAATTACAAACTAATAGTATTTCTGACATACATACATTATATGATGCGTAAAGGCGTTACAATATCCACAAATGTTTAGCAAGGTACAAGAGGATCATCACTTTTAAGTACCACAAGCAATCCTGTAACAGGCCTGCCCTTGCCCAATAAAATTGTATCTTGCATGGATTTTAATGCAATATCATGATTGTTTTATAATATAATTTATTGTTTTAATATAATATCACGATGTAGACAATTGTCCAATCAGTTTTATGATGACATATTATACGTAAAAGCTGTAAGCGAACGATTACGATTCATATCATTCAATCAAAATAATTCAAGAGCGAGAACTACAACTATCTTCAGGATGCTAATGTTAATCCTAATATTTGAGGTAAAATGGTTATTTTACAGTCTTCATTTGTTAATTTCTCCCCCCCCCACCTCCTGGCTTTTACACGAATATACACAGAACGAGTTTGCTTATGTGCGTACGTATGGTTCCCCAGATTTATTTTTACATGTAACATTCTTACTCTATGATGTAACCCAAGTTGGCCTGAAATAGGCGATGAGTTGCTGCCGGCCGCCGGGACAAAGCGTAATAGATAGATATGATATGATGACACGTGGTTGCAAGAGTTTTTAAATTGAAAGTTAAAAAGCTTATCACTGTTATTACCAAAGGACAGATATTTCGAGAAGTATTTTGCTTTATGCACTCAATGCCCAATGGAATGGTAAAAGCGTGGCCTATTTGGCTATCTCACATGCATACTTTAGTGTGGTTAAAAGAAAAGTTGAGAACCGATCCAAAAGATAAAATCATCAGCGCTGAAATACCTTATTCAAACAGTGACAAGGCTCCATGAAATTATTGTAAAAAATATGCATTTCGTGATCCATGCAGTGTTGAAAATCCTCAATGTCCTTGAATGAAGAATGGGAAATGCACCGAAAAATTGTCTCCCAAATTAATTAAAGAGACTGTCTACAATGACAACGAATATCCGTTGCATTGTAGAAGAGCGCCAGCCGACGGAGGTTGAACGGTATCTGTGAAACTCCAAAATGGGAGTTACGTTAGGTACAGTAGAAAATGGTTGGGTGGTCCCTTATTCGCCTATTTTGTAAAAAATGTTTAATGTCCATATAAATGAGGCTTGTAGTTCAGTATGCGCTATAAAATATATTAATAAGGGTAGCGATCAGGCATTTTCGATTTCAGAAACACAGAGCTCGCTAACCCCGTAGATGAATTTAAAACATAATATGGTCATTATGTCAGCAGCAACGAAACCGTGTGACCGCTGTTAGGGTTTCCGTTACACGAAAGAAACCCAACCATCACACACTTCAGTGTGCACCTAGAAAATGGTGAACGTGTCTATTTTAAGGAAAATAATTTACAGGAGCGCTTATATTATGTTCTCCAAAAACGAAACTGACCGCTTTTTATGATATCTGTACAAGAGATGAATTTGCAAGAAATCTGATGTATGTTCAGGTACCAGAGTATTACAATTGGAACACAACAGGAATATCGAATATAGAAGACGTATTGAATGGAAACGCCGAATCCAAGGAGCTCCTGTTTAGAATTGGTCTGGTGTCAGATCTGGAGATGCATTAGGTCGAGTTTACACGGTCCACGTTAGTCAAATGGAAAGTTTTTGTTTTAGAATACTTTTACACCATGTGCGTACTGCGTGGGACAACCTCTTTCAAAGATCTCAAAAAGCTCAATAATCATGAATTTTCGACATTTCGAGAGGGTTGTTAGAGAATGACAATCATTGGCATTTGACTTTGGAAGAGGCCGCACAATGTAGATCAGCTTCAAAAATGAGAGAACTTTTCGCTATATGAATAGTGACATGTGGACTTTCAAACAATCAACAACTGTGGGAAAAGCACAGAAATGATTTGGCGGATGATATTTTACACAGACTAGAAGAATATATTCCAAATGCATCATCCATTCATACAACGATATAATTTACAATGACGAACTAATAAAAGTTGAAGACCAAGTGATAACTATTAGTGGAAAATATCAAAGCACTAGATCGCACAATGAAAGGTATTATGAGTAACTAGAGGATCATGGGAGGGATGGTCATAGATAATATAAGATAATATAATATATTCTTATATTATCTATGGGGATGGTGGTACTTTTAGTTGGTGATTACTAGTAGCACACCAGCGGATAAAATAAATGCCTGTTTGAAAGCGTAAAATTAAATGAAATTAAATAAAAGCGTAACATAAAACAATATAAATAGCATTTACATCAAGCCCACTAGTATGCTATATTACAACATACTCTAACAGTAATATAATATGTAACCAATGGCAACCCTATAGACAAACAAAAGAAATATTCTTTTTCAATGAGCCAGAAACTAAATTCATGTGTAAGCCACCGTATAGCAAGATATAAGCGTTGAGAAAATAAGCTACCAACACCCTCCAAGTCTCAAGGAATCTATTGATAAAATGGCAGTTTGGAGTCTATTAATTACAGACTGATCAACATCCATTAAGTACAGAGCTCTCTTATTTTAAACTATTCTCTCTATAATATTTAGTTGATTCACAATTGATATTGTCATAAAAATATGTACTTTGTGTTGCAGTAAAACAGATAAGTACAAAATATGCTTAAAATAATACTCTGTTAATATCAAATAAATATATTGTTTATTTTACTATTATTACAGCATTAAAATACACATCACTCATTGTTGATTGAAAGTCACTCAAAATTATAAATAATATTAATTGAGAAACAGATAGGTAACAACAATTGCTTAGTTTTATAACAAACTCGTATTTATAGTTTTTTATGTTTCCCAAATTAAATTATGATTCTTAATTAATTCACTGGGAGAAAAGTCTTCGAATAACATAAAATAACCTTGTATTTGAGCTGCACTTGCAGGTTTTCCAGTTTTAAAAACAGTTTCTGCAAATTCTTTAGCATATTTTTCACTGTCATTATTTTCTAGGAAAAATCGATTGTACATTCGTTCAATTTGTGATTGTGAACAATGTCCAAAATACTCCTTGGAATCTACTCTACCAGGTCTAATCAATGCAGCATCTAGTCTAAATATAAAATGTTGACAAATTATAGTATTTTTATAAAATAAGTATAGAATTATTTGCTAACCTTTCAATGTAATTTGTTGTCATAAATAGTATTCTAGCTTCAGATGAAGCAGCGCCATCAAGAGCATTTAATAAGCCACTTAATGTTACCCGACTCAGACCATCATACGCAGTGGCAACTAAAAAAATTATTATGTATTCAAGATATAATATCCACTATTATTTTATAAAAAACACCTGTGCAATTAAACAATACCTTGTTTAGATTCGTGTCTTCCACCAAAAGCTGCATCTACATCTTCTAATAATATAATTGTATTTTGAGGAGCAGCAGACATTAAATAGTTTAATCTATCATCAGTGAGTCCACGTTCACTTAAATTTAATAAACAAACGCCATACTGCAGTTCTCCAGCTAAAGCTTTAATAAAAGATGTTTTTCCACAACCAGGTGGTCCGTGCAATAAATAACCTCTTCTATATGGTATGCCACGCTCAATGTACCAATAAGGTTTGGCAATAAACTTTTGTACATCCTTCAATATCCTTTCAGAAATACCATCATCTAATACAACTGATTTTAGAGGCCTAGGTTTTTGTGGGTGTCCAAAAGGACGCCATTCTGATCCCAATGCAGTATATACTATTGTACGGCCTTCCAATGTTTTTAAAGCCATCTGACGAGCTACCTGACAAAATAATCAAAATAAATTGTAATACAGGTATATAATAAATTGTTATTTTACATTTTACCTTCTTCTAATATATTAGTGAATATCGACTTGTTTGTGCCAAATGTGGTGAGTACAACATTTTCCCAAGGAACACCAGCATGTAAATCTAACGATTGTTGTTCTCTCGTTCTTGTAACTTGAATATATTTACCATGGTACCTGAAAAAATTAATTTTATCATATAGATGTAAACGATTCAACAAAATAGTATTTTAATTAAGTAGGTACGTACAATATACATCTATTGTTATTTTTAAGCAATTTAATCATAACTACCTACCTAATTTTTTAGATATGAAGATGAGAGAATGATGTACCTAGTGTTAAGTTAATAATTTCAAATACTTAGGATTGATGATACATAAAAAAAAATGTGGTTTTAAGGACATGTTAGAAATATAATTATGCGTGATTGGATAAAGTGGAGAGAAGTATCAGGTGGATGAGCTACTTACTCGATCAAATGTACTCCAATGCTGGGTAAGAAATGATACGTGGTATTCACTCGTCCGGTGTCCATTTGCTCAAAAGTCGTCTCTACGCTCAGGTGCTGAGTGCGCCGGGCTGCCTTTTGCGTTACCCACAGCAGTACCCATTGATAGCTTTTGTCACGGCACGGCACTTCCAGGGTCATCATGAAATTTCGGCGAAACAACACTAGACCGGCTGAAGCACCCTTGCGTAACACGGCTGCCCCCAAACCAAGCCCGAACAGACCGAAACCTGCGCTGAAGTATGGATTGTCACCGAGAGTGGATAATAGATCGGTCATTGGCATTTTAATAAGATATTAATAATACAATTTGTACAGTTTTACAGCATACGTAGCACCGGCTATAGAGTACGACGCATAGTTAATAGTAATAATTAGTAAAAACTAAAAAGATTCGTACGACCTTCGGACTTTAGATTATTGTAATCGTTGTATAATTAGGGTATCTTTTAATCACAGACATTAATAATATCACGGAATAAAAATCTGACTGCTTTTAATCAATAATGGCTCGCAACCGTCTGTACGTTCATGACAGTGACCGGTCTTCACTCGACAACGCACCGAACTTCATTGCGGTGGACGAAAATTAAAAAATAGTAAATACCGTCCGCGGCTGTCTTAAGTTGTTCTATGGTATGGTTGTGGCGGCGGCTGGCAGTCGACGACCACGGTTCGTCCGACCACCGACCGTCACTTTCGTGGGGAGGGGAGTCCCAAAATCTGTTTAACACTGTGTCTGCGATGTTTGTTGTGCGGGGAGGTGGTGCGTTCGGCCCGTCCGTCCGGTCGACGGGTGAAGCAGCAGCAGTTTAGGTGGATTGGCCGGAAACGTGGCCCGTTTGGGAACGCATGACCGACATACGTTTCCGCCCGACGGGAAACCCTGCTCGCCGCGGCTCGCCCGCACATTTCATGCTGTCTTCGTTGCACTATCTTCCCGTCACCGTCGCTCGCTCACGCGCGCGCGCTAGCTCACCCGTCCGTCCTGTCCCCCGAGCATTCTGCATTTCGCATGAATGGGAACGCTTTTCGGAAGGAAGGACACAGCCAACACACACACATACAAACATACACAACACACTCACACCGAGAAACCATGAATCAATTACTTTTTTGAATGAAACGTCGTTGATGAATTGGCGGTGGACGTGCACCGGGTTTGCGCGAAATGACGATGGCCGAGGGTAAGCCAAACTTCAGGGTCGTGGAGAGACTAAAGATCAAAATCGGTGAGTGGTACAATATCATAACGCTACATCCGTTGTTCCGTGTCGTGTTCTCGACACGGGTTGGGGGGGCCATCTTTTCGGGTGCCCGTACATCCTCGATGCCCCCCCCCCCATGCATTGGCTTACGTGCAAACGCATCAATGGATACCTGTTAACCCCCGAAAAAATATTCATGAATGACCGGGATCTTGTTTTGAGTGTAGGTGATGCGAAGAATTTGGGCAAAGGACACTCGTCGCTCAGGGACGGACATTGTACAATCACACTCGACCAGGAAGAAATATTCCGTACGGCCACTATTGAAAAAGCGATTGAGTGAGTACACCTATCTAACCGATTATTTGTGGTGTATCAATTTTATGTCATACTTATGTACTGTCAACATGCCCTTGTAATAGAAACTGCTGGTACACTGGGTCGTGCAGGATTTCATTCTGTTCAGAAATGATTCCAAATACTTTTTGATTAATACTATTTATTGGTGCATAATAATCAATACCTAGTGGATAATGGTCATTGACATTGTAAACACTACGTTATCGTTGTCCGTTATGCATTATAGATATTTAGATTATATATGTATATCAATCAAATATACATTTTTTTTCAAAGTAGAGATTTCATTTTAATTTAATGTTATTAGATCCCAGTTTAGGTAATTTATTATTGGTTGTTATAAAAACAATATATTACATTTGATATTACCTATTTAAAGATCTATAACTTATAATTTTACAAGTCCTATTGATTTGTTTAGCGAGTTTGTATCTTTTAAATTATTTATAAATACCTAATAAAATTAATTAAATTTACATTTTATAGAATTATGTTTGCCTATCATTTCTATATTAACCTATTGTATGCACCTATTGATCATATAATCATGGAAATTTGTATTACCTATTTTAAATGATGACATTACCTACAGAACATCTTAATATAATAGAATTAACTAGGTATTAAACCCCGTATTAAACTTTACAAAATTTAACAATTTTTGTGAACTTAATTACCTAATACAATTTTTGGTTTAATTTAGTTACACACGTTTTAAAATGTAATGTTTGATTGGATCTTTTTATTTTACCTTATTATAATGTGTACATATATTCATAATTGGCCCGATAATTTATTATTGTGTTATTATAAATCTACATGTTATTATGTTTCTATTTAGATACCTAGTTGTATGTATTATTATATTAATCAAACTAATTTTTATCTATTTTTTATATAGTATGAGAATAATAATTAAGATAAAACTATTATAATATTCAAATGTAAAATGGAAGAATGACCCATTGTTACAATTATCACTTGAATAGAGATCAACTGTAGATAGATATATCAAACTAGCTAGTAGCAACATACAAAATGATTAACATTTGAAATTTAACTTATATGCATACCTAATAATTTTAGATAACATTCTACCTAACGTTTTTTGAATTTAAATTTTCTAATAGTACTAACATTTATACGAGCATTTATATTTTTAAATAAAATGTCTACTGAATACCTATAGGACATTATATACAACTATATAATATGTAATCATACATTGTAATTATTAATATAGATTATAGTAAGATAATTCATTAAAGGCACGTATTAATAATTTGAATGGCACGTGAATATATTATTATTGACATAATAAATATTTGTTTTACAAAAATATTTTGAAATTTATAATTATTGTAAAACATTCGAGTTTTTATTCAATGCTTAGTATTTATACTATATTCTAATATTTTATTATTTTATTGAGTCTTGTTAAATTGTATTAGTTGTATATTCATACATTTTATGGGTAAAAATTGATTTATTTCTAAGTATTAAGATTATTGAAATTTTAAAAAAACCTATTATAATTGTGTATGAGAAATATTGACCATAAACTAAGTAGGTATATTATTGTATTTTAATATTTTAAAAGTTTGGCAATGGTGATACCACACAAGTATCCAAATAATTTTAACTCTGGTTCATAATTTGGCAAACATACATTAGATACACTCATTTGAGAATTCACTGGCACTGTTTATGTAGAATAACATTAACAATTTTTAGGTAAACTTATGAATTCTTTTAAATGTTAAATTATTTTTTTCTTACAATTAGTTGAAAAAGTTATGTTTTCCGAGATTAATTGTGTTGACATATATTTTTCAAGTTTAAACAATAATTCATATTTATTTAAATTAGTACCTAGTTGTATAAATTGATTTTAATTAAAATAACTAGATTGATATTTATGTTGTATGTAGTTGTTATATAGAAGAGAAATATCTATCAAATGTAAACAACCTAAAAATAGACTCATAAAATGTTGAATTTTTTTTGAAAAGCAATCAGAATTATAAAAATAATGTTATTATATTAGGTATGCATGATTATAAAAGAATATACGTTCATGTGATATTAATAAATTAATGTACTTATGTATAATTATAAAAATACCTAATATCTTGGTAATTGAACTATTCATACTTTTAATCCATCACTGGATTCTCCCTTCTATTGTTTCGTTATTTCTTTTTACAACACATTTTGCTTATTGTGTTTGTAATACAGATTATAAATATTTTATAATTTGAATTTCCATTAAAAAAAAAATTAACAAGTCAAACCATCACTTTAAAAATAATAAAAACAATAACAATTACAAAAACTTTTTATTAGTTAAGGTAGTTAAGGTAGAAGTTAAGGTAGAAATAATATTCATGGCATTTTCTGAATTGTAAATTGAATTTAGTAGAAATTTGTAATTACTACACTACATAAAATCATTTAGATAACCTATTAAAAAAATAATTTCTTGTTTTAAAATATTAATATAAGTTATCTTTTTTACTTATTGTTCTACACTGTAACAGATTGTATTATAAAAAAAAAAATATTTGAAAAATGTTGTGTAGATCGGTTCCCTGTACCTTTGTCCATGAGGTGATCTTTGGTACACTACAATGTCCTGTTTTCAAAAAATAGGCTAAATATACTGAAAATCATTTGTTGATTTTTACACTGTTCTGGTCTGATGTACCGGGACAGATAACGAGAGAATGAAGGTAACAATTAAAATTGAGGTGGACCACATAATATCTCTACAGGGTGTCCCGTGAGGATTTACTCATTGCGATATCTCCTGAAATAATAGAGATATCGTAATTCTGTTTTCTTAATAAGACTCACAGAGGTAAGCACTACAAATAACTAATTTTTAATTTTTTTTTTATGTTTTGGTAAAAAAGTTAAAAAAATTATTTTTTTAATTAATTATTTAAAAAAATATTAAAGATTGCCATTTTGTAGAGTTCATTTTTCTGAAAATATTGACGTTTCAACATTTTAATTTCATTAATTTCCTGATTTTTAATAATTTTTTTAATTAATAAGTAAAACGGCAAAAAACCGGTTTTCGTCCGGGCGGCGAGTCCCCCTCAACGGCTAATAGGTAAATCCTCACGGGACACCCTGTATATCAGCTGCTGCATTCAGTTCCAACACTTACACAGTTAACTGCTCTCGTTTAATAGTTTTTTCCCCTCGTTTTGACCTAAAACATCATATATGGTCACCTTATGTTTAGGTATACTTACAGTAATATTAGGTACCTACCTAAATCATATGAATATATGATAGGAAATTATACTTTATTCCTACAATATTACTTATTATTTAATAACATATTTAATTACATATTTTCTCACAATTTCTTTAAAATTAAAATTAATTAAAATTTTTTTTTATTCACTTTTTAGTCCATTTTGGGGTGAAGAATTTGAGTTTGAGATACCTCGTCGTTTCCGTTACCTTGGTGTATGTGTTTATGAACGTGATAGACCATTAGGAAGAGTAACTGTCCGAAGGGACCAATTAACATCGTTTAATGACAAGGATCACTGGTTCCCTTTACGACCACTGAACGTTGAATCTGAAGTACAGGTATTTAATTTTATCATTAATAATATCTAGATTATAGAGTATTATATGTAGATTTAATTTATTATAAGCTCTATGGAAGTAGGTATACAATATACATGTTGTAGCAAT